AGAATGTTTTTTGACTGGTTAATACCTACATTAGTCCCGCGCCGTAGCCGCACGGTCTGAAACATCATGCTTCGGACCGGCGATACAGTTGAATTTGAATTTGGGAAAAGTTCTGAGCAGCAGGAAAGACGGTGCCCCACATATTTGGATTTCTTAGTTAGAAAAATAAAACATTCTAATTTTTTAAATTAAATTTCTTTTTACTTCTGATTTCATGGTAATTTTGTGTGAGACAGCAAAATAATGAAAACTAATAATAAACAAGCAAATTGAGTGGTTGGCGTTTGAAAACACAACTTTCCGTAGTCATCTCATAATTATATTGGTACGCCCCAAATATAGTCGATTAGTTTATAATCTTTTGTCATACCATGTTTTATTTCCCTATCTGTGCTGAGTAACCTCAAGCCATTATATGTAATATTTTCATTTGAAATGTTGACACTCTAAGTGCTACACTACAAAACAGCCCATTAGACCATCATGTGTATGTAGTAATGTTATAATTGTCACATCACATTTCAAATTCTTTGTTGGCTGTAATCTTAAATTCACATATATTTTGAGCTTTCATCATATTGCCAATTTTTATTTGGAAAATGATTTGCCTCTTGGAAAGTGACAGCAGCAGAGATATGAGGATATATTAAAATGGAGCTTTAGGAAGTAGGTTTTAGTATTGTGTACAGATGTAACTGTATGAATCACATTCAGTGGTGATATTTTATGTTAGCGGTATTGGGTTTTAACAGGACAGAGGGAGAAAGAATTGAATGAGTTGTTTTTTTGGGATAGAATACCATATCTTATGTATATATGAGTAAAAAAGTTGTAATAGGACCTTGAAAATGTGTATTTAGATTTTATAGTGTAATTTTCTATGTGTGTCTCAAATTTTCATTAATATTCATTATAGCAGTTTCATATAAATATTTGAAATTTTTAGGAATTTGTTGTGGGATGCCACTGCCTGTGTTTGTAAGTATGAATGCTTTGCTGATTACCTTTAATATTTAAATATTTTATTCAAGGAACTAAAACCACCCATCATTCTTAGTTGAGAGTCACAGTAATCAGATACCTGTGATTGCTTTTCCTCATTCAGAAAGTTTACAAATGGATGGACTATTTGGTGTGACTGTTCTTATAGTCAATTTGATGGTTGGGAGCTGGAAGGACTGCTGTGACATTTAAACAGATATTATACTCCTTAAAGCTGATGTTGATAACTACTGTTGCATTGTCAATGTGTTGAATTAGCATTGTATGAAGTTCAAAGCAATATAGTGTTGTCCTTTTGAGATATTTCAATCGTGATTTGGTCAACAGTAATTCTTATGTGTAGTTGTCATTGTCATCTACACTAACTAACCAGATGGCTTACTGAACCTGAAGGTTCATCACCGAATTAACCAAAGCCCTCCACCGGACCCTGTCCTGGGCCAACAAAATACAGTCTCCTTCAACTCCTATCTCCCATAGATCCCGCCTGAGATTATCCTCCCATCTACGTTCGTCATCTACACAGACTCTCTAATTTGATTTGTTGCATCGCAGAAATTTTACTCTTCAGATTATTGGACAGAACACTTTGTGTGTTTTAGTGCCCTTGATCACAGATTCGTTTATCTTTTATATTAAACCAAAAGTAGTCCAGTTTTGCCATAGCGGTTCTAGAATTTTGACAGTGGTCTCCGAATCTACATTTTTAATGAAGTTTTCTCTATTCCAGGGAATTGCTTATAGAAATTGTGAGTCGTTAATCTGTCGTTTGTATGCTTTAGACCTCCGCCTCACAATGTCATCAGCTTGCTTTGGACTACAAGTGGCATATCTTTTGATCATCAGCATGAAAAGTCTTCCAATTTTCAGATTTTTCATTCTTATGGCGGTGAAGATGTAGGTCTTCTGTGATGTAATTCTGTCTGTTAACATATAGGTAGATGCCAGTATTATGGAGGAATATCCAGATTATTTCTTCAGGAATTTCAGTCATGAAAACGTTTATATCATGCCATGTTATTTATTGCTGCTAAGGAATATTAATTTAGTTGTAAGACTTGAGGTTTTCACAGCGGTGAGTATGAAGATTTCTGTCTTCTGGGTTGTTGCGCTGTGTAGTCTGGTCAATGTTAACCAACGTCTCAGAGGTCATACTGCCTCCGTAATCAGGCTGATGACGGAGGCAGTATGACCTCTGAAACGTTGGTAAACATCGACCAGACTACACAGCGCAACAACCCAGAAGACGGAAATCTTCATACTCTGATGACGGAGGCAGTATGACCTCAGAAACGTTGGTTAACATCGACCAGAATACACAGCTTAACAACCCAGAAGACAGAAATCTTAATTATTTTAGTTCTTCCTTCAATGGCTAATAACCAAAAATACAGCTGAAACTTTATAAATTACTATAGAGCCTCCGAAGTATGTCTGAGTAATAAATACACTGCAGGTTTTTAATACTGGATCATGTTTAAAATTTGTACACATTTGTTTAATTCCCACAGTGAGCTTATACTTGTGGCTTCACAATGATGAAACAGGTAAGTCAAATGTTGTTGGGTCTGTCATCATTTTATCATTCACCAAAATGTCATTCAGTATAATATCTGATTCACTCTGCTAGTGGAACCTTTCTCCAGAATGTCCTTTTCTCTCAATGGCACTTGTGGAATGCTACCAGAGGATAGTCAAAACCACTCATTGGACTGTATATGTTATGTAACTATATGGAAGTTTTGAGATAATTTTAAAGAATTTGATTTGAAATATTTGAATTCATTTTATGTAGGTGAATATTATGCAAATGGATGAAATATTGTACAAATTAAAAATTAGTAATCCAAAATTGATTCAGTGTGTGCTGGCTGCCTCTTTCAGTGTATATGTTTTCTTTATACTTGTATTGATCTTGGACCTTTTGTAGTTATCAACATGAATCTTGAATCCATGTTTCTTAGGCAGAAAGAAAAAATTAAAATTTTTATGTGGTATTGGGTAAAAATATCTTGAAGCATTACAATATGATTGGTGATTTTAGAGCTGCTGATGCTCTAGAACGTGAGAAACTACTTGCATGAGGATCCATGTCGGACATCACGCCTCATGGACTCGCTTCAGCCTCGCTCAGACTTTCATATCCGCAATTGTTACCTTTCTCGAATTGGAGCAGCGGTAAGTTAGAAAGTACAAATTAGCATTTGATACATGGATTTTAAGTACAATTACATTTTCAAGTTCTTTACTGTTATGCTTTTGTTTCATACTGATTGCATCAAAATTACATTGATGTCTCAGACCTCTATTAAAGACCATTGACATCTTGTCATCTCTTGTCCTGGACCAAAAATTTCCATGTTTCAGTTGCTTTGTTCGGTCATGTGGCATTCCCATTCCATGAGGTTGTACTGTTCTACAACAGCTGATTTTCTGTTTAGTCCGTCAAGTAAGTCAGCAGAGGAAAAGATGTCTGTGTACAGTTTGCGTCATCGTCTCTCCCTCTCTTTGTTTTTTTGTTTTTTAAGCACTTTGCTGTGGTGTGTGTTGTCATATTTGCAGTTGCTGATATTATGTCCTACTCCGCAGAATTCCATGCTGTTTGTATAACCAGTCATATTATACACTTTGTAAATTTTGATTCTGAAATGTTTGTGTGTTATCTGTAATTCATCTTTCCTTTGAGAGGTACTAGACTTATTTCATAGGCAGATGCTTAGAACGAAACGTCGACGCATCGTTTTTGGCGGGGGTGGGAAATAAAAACGATGAATACGGGAAAGCATTAGAAATGAGAAAAAATTAAAATAGTGCATTTTTCTCTTTTCCATAAACAAAACAATACACATAAAACCTGTTTCAAAGTTAATTCTTTATGCCAAAAAAGTCTTTAATGAATAACTTTACGTTTTAGGCGAAACAGAGCCCTTTCCATGTTCAAAACGTTTTCCTCATCACCTTCAACAATATTGTGCGCGCAAAAGAACGAATTCACTTTTTCGTCAATATAGCATGTGCTTCGGCAAAACTCGGCACAGCTTCGGGCTCGTATTCGTCGTCTTCCCTCTCCACCCCGTTTCCGTGACTTCCACGATCCTCACAGGACTCATCGATGGTGTCGGCCGTGCATGTGGGAAGTTCGCTGTGCGTCTTTCGATATTAATTTATCTCTAAAGCGATCGATTTAAATTCTAAAAACATTGCGTAAATTTCATTATAATTTCTCATAAACGAGAAAATGTAACATTATTTTATATGGGACGTATCAGGGAACGAACAAAACTGTCGATGCATCTGGGAAAACGATTGTTCGGGGAACGATGGCTAGAGGTTTCACTGTATTCTGAGTAGGTTTCATCCAAAAGTCAAAAACATTTTTCTTTTTCCTTCGTATATATACACAGAGGATACTCAGATGTAAATTACAAGGGGACTTGGGAATGATGTCACTGACTGTTAACTTGATTTGTTGCCTCAAGAGTAACAGCTAGCAGTTAATTTCTGAAAGGCTCGCCAGCCTTCGCAAAGAAACAGGCTGATGCAGCACAGGGTGAGTGTGCTTTATTGGTTGATTTCAGGTTCAAATGACTGTTTTATAGGTTGTTATGCCACGTAGACTGGTAGAAGCTTGTAGACACAAAATATGTAATTCCCAAAATTTTGTTATTTTGCATTATATCCTTTAGGACCAAAAATTATTCACTTACATATATACTGATTCAATCTTAACATGTGAATTTACACAAAAGAATTTTATTTGAAAATCCTTGGTTATGAAGCCACATCAATTTTGCATAATCATATTCACCATGTGGCACGAAGTCAATACAAAATTTCAGCAATCTTCGAATATTCGTGCGCAGGTAGTCATGTTCAGCTGACACAGATTATCGCTATAGGGTTGAGTTAGGTTAGGTTAGGTTAGGTTAGGTTAATGGGGCATCTGCGTAGAAGGTGATGCGCAGTGAAGTGATGCAAATTGTCCATAGTAAGGCATCGTATGAGTTATAATATCGATTGCGGGATATTGAACAATCAAATATTTCAATGTTCTAGCATTATAGAACAATCTTCTTGTTTGAGTTACTACCATAGCTTTACACTTCAAAGAATTTACATTGGTTACCTTATTGTTGACCTCGAAAGACTATTGGCTCACGTCACTTGTGTATGTTTTTTACGCAACTGTAGTTGTTGAATTGCATTTGTAGTCTACTTACGCTTAGGAATCATTAATACACATGTCAAGATTTTATTTTAAAGTGTATCGAGATATTACAAAGATCCAGTTTGTCAGAAATATATATGTATACATATGCACACACAAGTCACATTTAGGCACGTCCAACTTCAGTGAATCAGGTACATCTGGAATTTATTGACTGTCACCATATGAAACTCTCGCCTCTTTTGTGCACGCGTGTAATGTCGAAAGTTAATTCGCGGAGTGTAATTACACATCTAGGCAATTCACACGTTCACGTACATCAAACCGTAAGTGTAATTTTCTACTTGAGTCAATCTTGCATACGACACTGGAAGGAGAACGTCCTCTCGTCTCCTCTGTACGAAGCACACAGTAGTTTAATATGTATCCCAGAAAATAAACGTTTGAAATTATCCCGATGAACATATTTGTTTGAGTACCAACGCCCGAAAGCTTGAACTTAAGAAGGTGAATATGTCTTAGCTAAATTCCTAGGCAAACTTTGAATCACGGAGACTGCACCACTGCCTCTCGACGAAAATCAATAACGACTGACTTTCACTTCCGGGGCTGACATCAATCTCACGTTTTTGAAAGCCGATGTACAGGTCTGTCCAATCGAATGGAACCACGTCGTTTTCTGTTTAGTTTTCTCTCCGTTAGAGTTCGTAAATTTGTGAGCTCTGCTGTCGGCCAGTCGTTACGTAGAAGGGTTATTGATTTACCTGACTGCAACAGCACGCCATCACCAGTCTATTTCGGAAAGTATTTTTACACATGCTGCCATCTGTACGCTACATTCAATGTGTACGAACAATTGCATTATTTCCGAAATGGTTATTGATCTTTGCAAATCATAGAGCATATTTATTTGTTGTTTTTCTTAATTTCCGTCACTTGAATGTGTTAGGATTATATTTAATCCCATTATTTACGTATAGTGATTTCTGTGCGCGATTCCTTACGTATGAAGCTACAACGCGCTTACGTAACCTTAGTCACTATCAGTTTCTTGGCCATGAAAATATTTTTACACATGTGCATTTTTTAGTCTTATGACGTATCTGTGCACGTATAGGCACCAGTTGGAAAACATAAAGGAACATTTATGTGCCTAATTCCTTGTTCATAAAGTCGGATGTTGGCGATCGTGGCCGATTTCGCATTTCTTCCACCTCGGGACTTTGATACCTTCGTGTGTATTTATTACAAGTGTTGCGACACGAAATAGTATGAAATCTTATTACTTACCTGTGGCAGGACGTCCATACAAAATTTCAGCAATTTCCGACCATCCATGGTTTTTTTCGAAAATTCGTGCGCTGGTCGTCATGGTCAGCTGACGCAGATTACCGCTATAGGGTTTAGTTAGGTTAGGTTAGGTTAGGTTAATAGGTCATCTGTGTAGAAGGTGATGCGCAGTGACCAGTGCAAGTTGTCTAGGTTTCGGCATCGTATGAGTTCTATTATCGATTGCGGGATATTAAAAACTCGAATATTTCAATGTTCTCATATTATAGAACAATCTTTTGTTTGAGTCACTACCATACCTTTACACTTGAAAAATTTTACTTTGGTTCCATACCTGTGGAATTCTTAACACAATAGGCTCACGCCACTTATCCATGTTTTTACGCAGTCGTAGTTGTTGAATTGCATGTGTGGTCTACTTACGCTTAAGAAATATTAATACACATGTTAAAATTTTATTTTAAAAAAAATCGAGTGCATAAAGCCTTCAGCATATAGTGGATGTTGGTGATCGTGGCCGATTTCGCGTTTCTTCCACCTCGGGAATTTGATACCTTCGTGTGAATTAATTACAAGTGTTGCGACAAGAAAGAATATGAAATCTTATTACTTGTCTGTGGCACGATGTACATACAAAATTTCAGCAATTTCCGACCATCCATGGATTTTTCGAAAATTCGTGCGCTGAACGTCATGCTCAGCTGACGCAGATTACCGCTATAGGGTTTAGCAATTAATGTACCAGAGATTTATATTCAGTCTTTTTGTGCTGCTATTTATATTAATAAATGACGTACTATCATTCACGTATGTTTATTCCAAAACTTTCGTTTCATGATACTTATTTATAGAGAGTTAGATTGGGTATTCGTTACGCATGAATCTGCTACGTATTTGCATCAACATCTACAATGCATCAATTTTACAAGAAGTAATTATTGTGGGAAGATTATGTAATTTTAGGCGTGTCATGATGTGTTACACGCATATAAGCACT